CCTGCCATCGCCAGCGGCTGAACTCTTTCCTTCAGTAATTTGGAATGGCTGCAGCAGAGGGGGCTGCAACTCTGCCGGACGGGAAACTCCGCGGCTCCGACCGCCTCAGCCCCCTTAACGCTCCTCTGCACCCCTTAGCTCGGTACTCCCTCTGACGGTAGAGCCTGTCCTTGCAACCATCTCTACTCCCTCTAGAGCCCCAAAGGCTGAGCGCCCCCGCCCCCCCATCACAGCGGGAAGTGAAGGCCTCATCCTCTTCTTGGCCATACTATAAGGTCTGTCACCTGCCAAAATTGGATTTCTCTCTTCCCCCCTCCCTCGGCTGAATTAATGGGGCGAGGGTCTCACCTGGTGAAGTCCTCTTCCGCCAGCATGTGCCTGGGAATAGGAGAGTAGCGGGTGGGGGGGACCTGAGGAGGAGCAGGGTAGCTGACCTTGCTCTCCACTGCCCCGAGATAACCCAGGCTGGAATTATGGCTTATGTGGTTGTCAGCCAAGGCAGTAAAAGCTGGGATCAAGAAAGGGAGACGTTAAAAGAAAAAGAAAGAAAGAAAAAAAGAAAGGGAGCGTTAAGTTCAGAGACGTTCCATAAAGGTACCCCTGGCAGGGGAGCCCAGCCCCCTCCAAGGGCCAACCAATCCACTCTACACCTCAGGTGCAAAGGAGGCTGGGGCAGGGGTGTTGATGCTGCCCCTCCCCACCCTGTACACCCCCCTCTCCTCTTCCACAGTCCCTTTCTAAATCCTGGGCTCACTCCTGTGACTCTTAGAAAGAGCTGAAGTCAAGGCAGTCTACAAAGAAAAGTATGACTGGAGGTGTGACTAATAATAATCCCTCACATCTCTGTAGCCTAATACAGTTTTCCAAGGGCTTTCTTATTCATGATCTCATTTGATCCTTGCACCAGTCCTATGAGGAAGGCAGCACATATATCATTAGCTCCTTTTTGCCAAAGAGAATCTAAAGACAGGTAAAATGGACTTGTCCAAGGTCACTCAGCTCCAAAGGACATAGCTGGGTCTGGACTTGGTTCTTTTGAGCACTATCCTGCACTTGCTCTCTCTTAACAAGGACACATCGTCTTCTCCCCAAACCAGAGACAAGGCTACAGGCCTGGGCCAAGGGTCTGTGGGTACGTACTGCTGGCGTAGTCTGGGGGGGCGTACATGTCGTTGAGATGGAGACTGCCTGGCTTGGCCACCTTCAGATAGACCATATCAGATGTGTTCTTCAGTGAGGCCACAGCTTCCTCGTGCCTCACATCCTGTAGATTTGTGTTGTTCACCTAGAAGAGGAGAGGCCTCAGGCTGGGATTTGGGCAAAGGGAGAGCTTTGCCTGGGACCCCTGAGGGGTGCCCTTTCAGTGAAAGTCAACATTGTGCTAACAGAGGTCCAAGCACAGTGTTTCAGGGACATAAGACAGCCAGAAGGTAGGGATAGAGTGGGAGGGAGCCCCTGCACATACAAAGTTAGGGTTTTGGTATCTGGATAAATATAACTTAAATCATGTTCTTGAAATTTGTCCCTCAGTGAGGTTGAGGTAGAGTGAGAGGGCGCTGGAGCTCCTCCTCATACCCACCCTATCATTTGGGAATCCCCATAAGGGCTGTCTCACCGCCAGCAACCGGTCCCCAATCTGTAGGCGTCCATCCTTCTGAGCAGCTCCCCCCTCAATGATCTTCGTGATGTAGATGCTATTGTCTCCTGGGATGTGCTGGTTGCCAATGCCTCCAGCAATGCTGAAACCCAGGCCTGGGCGACAGCCAATAGAGAATGAAAGGGGACCACAAGAAATAAAGGGTGTTCGGTTAGTCCCAAAGCCAACTCCTCCCCCAGCCAATCCACTGATCCCCAAGGAGCTTCCCCCTAGAAATCCTAAACACTAAAGCTGCTGTTCCAAGGTCAGTAAGGGTGAGGCCTCAAGTCAAGAAAGAAGGCTAGATGAGCTAGAACTGGGGGATTCATGCTAGGAGTAAGGCTATTCCCCATGGGGCTGCCCAGGACCTGGGGCAGGGGGTTCTGGCTAGAGCACAGGAATCTAGAGAGACACACCTTTGGGCCCTTTGAGTAGGTTGACCTCCATGATGGTCTCAGGTGGAGGCTGTCGCCTCCGAACCACCAACCGCACCACAGGCCCTGCCTCCTTCAGCGCCTCCACAGCCCGGCTGTGCACCACCTCCGACACGTCCACCTCATTCACCCGAAGCACACAGTCATTCACCCTGTGGGGGAAGCCAGCCATAGAGGCATGACACTGTGTCACCGCCCCTCCACCCCCTCTCCCAAATCCACCCTTCCTGTCCCCTTCCTTCCTTCTCCCTCCTCTCTCCCTCCCCTTCTTCATCTCAGATCTCCTGGATGGATCATCCTGCTAGCCCGACCCTCATCTCTATCCTGCCCCTACCACCCACAACCCTGTTTCCAGGCTATCTTACCCCAGCCTCCCATCCATGGCAGCTGCTCCACCGGGAATGATCTTGGTAATAAAAATGCCGGGGTCATCAGGGACATGGGGGTTGTCAATGCCACCTGCAATACTGAAGCCCAGGCCAGAGTTGCCCTGCAGAAGGGGGTGGAAGGGCACAGTCTGTACACTCAGAACACAGAGCAGGGTTTTGGACACCCCACTTCCCTCTCTGTCTCAGAGCAGGTTCTCCAGGTCTCATGGTAGGCTGGGACACGTTCATGAGAAACCTGGCAGGCAGCTTCCCTGCCTGTGCTGACCGTTCTGGCAGAGAGGCCTTAGCAAACCCATCCCCTCCTCAAGTCCCCAGGCCTCAGCCAGCAAGGTCAATTAATATCTGTTAGTGAGTTGATTGATTGATGTAGCACTGCAGCTTCCTAGGGCTGCTGTTTCCCCATCTTCTCAATGTAGGTTCCCCCAGGAGTCCTGAAATCACTGTTCAGGGCCCTCCCCTCTCCTGGCTCCCACCCTCCCCTCCCCTTTCAAGCCCTCCCCACTGGCAGACTCACCCGCTCCAGCACTATCTCCTCATATTTGAACATGCCATCGCTGCCATTCACCTAGGGGAAGACACAGGCACTTCCCTCAGTGTCTCCCGCCCGAGTTAGCCTGCCCCTTCCCCACTCCCACAGATAGCCCGAGTATACCCCAGGGCACCTCTAAGCCACAGATGGGGACAAGACTGACCCCACAGGGGCTACTCCCCTCCCCTTGCTTCCAACCACAGCAAGCCAAACCCAGCTGCTCATTTAGCCCAGATCAATCATCTGGGCCTGAGCCAGCCAGTGGTGCACTCACCCAGAGGCTGGACTCCAGGGCCTCGGGGTTCACTAGGAGGGGTGCGGAGCTGGCCTAAGGGGGATGGCAGAGATGGAGTATGGCGGGCATGCCACACCACACCCAGCATTGGTGGGGCACCCAGAGGCCTGGTCAGGGAACCCCCACTTCTGAACCACAGCTCTCCCTGACTTGGGGATCATAAACTCCCACCACATCACAGCTGGAAGGACAGCAGACACCCTCTTATCCAACCCTGCTCATATGACAAATGGTGACAATGAGGCTCAGAGAAGGCATGGGATGTGCCTAAGAACACACTGGCAGTTAGTGGAAAAGCATGGATCTCAAGGTGCTCTTTGGATTAAATCAAGTTGTCAAGACCGTGATGTTTTTAGCCACTTATCCCATTCCCCCATCAGTACTCATGGGAGAAAGGAAAGTTGGCCCCTTCTGAGTACATCATGAACCCTCAATCTACACCTCCTTCCGTGGCTCCAGGAGCCCAATTCCTCATATGGACAGAAGGAGTCAAAACTCTAATCCATTCTCTCCCCAAGGGACTTTTGATCCCGAACCCTTTGTGTGTCCCAGCAGATAGGGCTAGGGTAGAATCTGACAGGGAGTCAGAGGCCAAGCCAGGGGCAGGATAGGAGCAAGGTGAACAAGATTCCCAACAAGGGAGAAAGTGATAACACATAAATATATTAGTAGCAAAGTCCATACTCTTCAACATGCAGTTGCCATAGGAAGAGAAGCAATAGAAAAGGTTGGAAACAGGGTTAGTCAAGCATAGGGGTTGAAAACATAGGGATAGCCTTTCAGACAGGACAGAATTATGGTCATTTTTCAAGTGGAAATCTGATTCTGGACAGACAAATATCACCTGCTCCCTGGTTGCCATTCTCATCTCCAAGAATGGAGGAGCCCTCTTGCCTCTCTCCCCAGGTATCCTGGTACCATGCCCCATCTTTCTCTGGCCATGCTGTCCCTTTCCTGATCCCTGTCTCAGAAGAGGAGATCTGGAAGCCCAGGATATGGGCTCCTCCACACACCCAGCTCTGCTTCCCCCTCCTACTTCCACTCCACAAAGCTATGGCTTTAAGAAGCAGAGAGGAGAAGGAGAGAGGGATGGCTAGTCATGCCTTCCCCACTTATGGGTTTTACCCCTAGGACTTCATGCCCTGCATCCCTGTGAGTTGGTGGGAGGACTCCAGCTGTAGCCTCACCCTGGTCCCTGATCCCAGAAGGAAGAACTGATGGCTCGTCAGAGACCCAAAACCAACACAGCTGCCTCAAGTGCCATACAAGAGACACACAGGCAAAAGGACACCCATGCGACTCTTGTATGTATGCGTCTGGTGTGCCATGTGTGCCTACATGTGACAAGCCATGTCTCAAGCCCAGTTTGAATGGTACCCAGAGACTCCCAGCTCCCAGTGATCAATCCTCCAGCTCCCACCCCACCCCCACTCAGGGACTTTGTCCCTAGGACCAGCAGCCACCCAGGGATAAGCCCTGGCAAAGAAACCTTAGCTAACTGGCCGAGCCTTGAGCTTGGCACCTGTCTCCTAGCTGAGCAGGACAAGTATGAGAGGGTATTTGCAAAGGACAGAGAGCCAAAGGACAGAGGGGCAAAGGGAAGAAGGAGACTCACTGGAGATGGCAAAGGGCCAAGGTAAGGAACACAGGAAGCAGTAATTACAGACAGACATAAGACCAAAACCGAGGACTCCCCTCCTCAGAAGTCCCCACCTGTGCTTCTAAGCGAGAACACATCTTATCCCCAGAGGAGGACAGAGGCAGCCATTCTGATCACCAGCTTGGCCCATACCTGCCCTCAACAGTAAAGCCTCCTCCTTCTGTCTCCCCACCCTGGGGGCTGCAGAGCCAAATACCAGACAGGCCCTCCACCATGCGTGCCAGGGACCTGGCTCTGCCTGCCCAGCCTCCATTTTGCTGCTTCTCCCACAGATGCTCCTTCCATTTTCTAAGCTGGCAGTTTAGGCTGAGAGTGGAAGCCGGAGTTGTGCCTAGCACCCAGGAGATCCCGAGCTCTGCCAAGTCAGGGCTGAGGGGCTATGCTTTCCCACATCTAAAGGTACCCAAAGCAGATACGCTCCACTGGGGGCCAGTCCCTGCACCAGGGCAGCTGCCCCTTGCTTAGCTCCAGGCACCATGCCTGCTCTAGAGCAAAGAAGCTTGCTTCACCAACCCCCCTCAACCCCAGCACACACACTTCAGAGCTGCTTGGACAAAAGAGTCCGTCCTTGGCAGCCTCTCAGCCTTGCTTGGGACATGTCTCTCGCCTCCTCCCTCTTCACTCCCTTGCCTGTCAAGCACCTCTCACCAGGGACACCACACACACACACACACAAACACACAGAGGCACATGGATGCACACTCTTACAGCCACATGCTCACACATATACATGTAGCCACACACAGAAAAGCAAATATAGCTATCCCTGCAGTCTCATCTAGAGACACCTCCACATTCAGAGAGACATCCCCATACATCCATGTGCATATTCACACACAAAGGGACTGGGACAGTGAGGACTCATGGCATGGAGGGGAGAAGCTCGGCAAGCTGGGCACATGGGTTCCTCTACATAGATTCATGGGAGCATGGGAGCTCCATTGCCTTCCTCCACAATAGCTATCCCTGCAGTCTCATCTAGAGACACCTCCACATTCAGAGAGACATCCCCATACATCCATGTGCATATTCACACACAAAGGGACTGGGACAGTGAGGACTCATGGCATGGAGGGGAGAAGCTCGGCAAGCTGGGCACATGGGTTCCTCTACATAGATTCATGGGAGCATGGGAGCTCCATTGCCTTCCTCCACACATCCCAATACACACACACACACACACACACACACACAC